AAAGACAATCATAAAGGCCCAAGTAATATTGACAACATAGAGGCCCAAATAATAGAGACAACCAAATAATAGAGGCAACATAGGTACTATCGAAAACCTATCTTCTTGTCTGAAGACCTATCTATCTTCTTCTTCTTCTCTTCTGTAAATTAATCCAAAACTCTTCTTTGATTAAAAAATCTGGCTATCGACATAGAGCTTCCTTTTCTTCTTCAACATCCCCCCTCAAGTTGGAGGGGAGAGATAAAACCCCCAACTTGCTCAAAATAAAACGGTGGGAAGCTCCAGATAAAGGTTTTGTAAATAGATCAGCCAGTTGATGCCGGGAAGGAACAAAAGATAGGCTAATCAAACCGGAAAGGAACTGTTTCCGCACGAAATGGCAATCTAATTCAACATGTTTGGTCCGTTCGTGAAAAACACGGTTACGAGCAATCTGTATGGCGGCTTGACTGTCAGAGTGAAGCGGAACAGGAAGAGGTGGTGAAGATGAAAGATCGTCAAGGAGACGAACTAGCCATGTGATTTCAGCTGTAACCCGTCTCATCGAACGGTACTCTGCTTCAGCAGAGGAAAGGGAAACAGAAATTTCCACGACATTGGTGCTCCCCCAAGTGTGATGAAGAAACCACTGATAGACCTTCGAGATTCCTTGCAAGATCCCCAATCCGCGTCGCTGAAAGCGAGCAAATCAAAAGAGGGTTTTGAAGAAAGAAGAATCCCCTGGCCTGGATCTTGACTTAAATAGCGGAGAACACGCAATGCAGCTGAGAAATGAGATATACAAGGGCGTTGCATATATTGACTGAGAGAAAGAACAGCAAACACAAATCCGGTCTTGTGTTGGTCAAAAAATTGAGCTTTCCAACGAGATGCCGTAGGATCTGCTAAAGGAGGACCAGCATGATGGATCAAATGGAGAAGTAACAGCAGCTCCAGAACAATCAAACTCTTGCAAGAGTTCCAAGGTATATTGTCGTTGACTGATAATGAATCCTTGTTTTTCTCGCAAAATTTCCATTCCCAGAAAGTAGTGTATATCCCCTAAATTTTTGACTTTGAACTCTGTATTTAGAAAATCAGTAATAGACTTGATTTCCTTGCAATCATCCCCAGTTAACAAAATGTCATCTACATAGACTGCAATAATAGAAACCAAATGCCCATTGCGTTTGAAAAATAGAGAATAGTCATTAAGCGAGCTAGAGTAACCTTTGTAACTGAGAGCTCCTGCTAATCGAGCATACCATTGTCTAGAAGCTTATTTTAGACCATATAACGATTTTCTCAAAAGACAAACCTGACTTGGCTTGGGGGGAGTCATCCCAGTAGGGAACCTCATGTAAACCTCCTCTTGTAAGTCGCCATGTAGAAAAGCATTATTAACGTCAAGCTGGGAAACTGCCCAGTCTCGCTTGACTGCCACTGTGAGAAGACACCTTATTGTTGTCATTTTGACAACAGGTGAAAAAGTCTCAGAATAATCAATTCCCTCTCTTTGAATATCCCCCCTTACTACCAATCTTGCTTTTAACCTTTCCACTGAACCATCTGCTTTGTGTTTCACTTTATAAACCCATTTACAAGGCAATGGCTTCTTACCTGGTAGTAGGTCCACTACATCCCAGGTATGATTCTGTTCAAGAGCAGTAATTTCTTCTTGCATAGCTTTCTTCCATCCTGGATGATTAGAAGCTTGTGCAAAAGTGGTAGGTTCTGATATGGAATCCATTCCTTGTATAAATTGCTGATTTTGAACTGATAAAGCCCCAAAAGAGAATGTAGTTGGTTTAGAGGGTTGTGTAAGACAAGAGTTGGTGAAATCTGAAAGATAGATGCTGCTGCATATGTAATCCTTGAGATATGCAGGTTTTTGACTAATCCTATCAGACTTTCTTAGAGGTGGTGATAAAACAGGAATAGGTGTGTTAGAAATGTGTTGTGGTGAAGGAGTGGGACTTTTGTATAAGGACTGATGTGGACTGCTGTGGGAATCTTGAGTAGGAAAAGGAGAAGAAGATGGACTAACATCAATATGTGAACTAGGCAAAGGTGAATCAGGAGGACTAGGAGGAGGGGAAATAGGACTGGAGGTAGCTTGGGAATCTGAGGTAGGATGAATATTTGTAGGAAGGACATTTTGAACTCCTGAATCTTGCACAACTGGAGTGTTAGGAAAAGGAGTGTTAGGTGAGTTGATGTTCAGTTGTTTGAAAGGAAAGTTGTTTTCATAGAATACAACATCTCTAGAAACAAAAACCTTGTTACTATTGAGCTCCAGAAGCTTATAACCTTTTTGGTTAGGCGCATAACCCAAAAACACACATTTGTTGGCTCTAGGATCAAATTTCCCTCTATTGTGTGCTAGAGTGGAAGCATAGCATAGACATCCAAAACACCTAAGGGAATCATAAACAGGTTTCTGCCCAAATAACATCTCATAGGGTGTTTTTCCTTTGATCACACTAGAAGGGAACCTGTTTATTAAATAAGTTGCAGTCAAGATGCATTCTCCCCAGAAAACAATAGGGACTTGTGATTGGAAGAATAGACCTCTGGCAACCTCCAAGAGGTGTCTGTGCTTCCTTTCTACAACCCCATTTTGTTGTGGGGTTGCTACACAACTTCTTTCATGAATAATACCTTGGCTTTCAAGAAAAGCTGCTTCTTGACTTCCTCTCCCTAGCTCTAATGCATTATCTGATCTTATCCTTTTTACCTTCACATTGAACTGTCTTTCCACCATGAGTAAAAAGGATCTCAAGATTGAAAATGCATTGCTTTTGCAACTCAATAAGAAAGTCCAAGTAGCTCTGCTGAAATCATCCACAACTGTTAAAAAATATCTGAAACCATTGTATGTAGGTGTCTTAAATGGTCCCCAAGTGTCAATATGTATCAATTCAAAAACAGTTTTGGTTTTGATGTGACTAATAGGAAATGGCAATCTAGTTTGTCTAGCTTGATGGCACACATCACACACATGATCAAAATTTGATGGAAATTGAGTGAAACTAAGTTTTCTCATTACTGAAAATGGCAAATGTCCCAACCTGAAATGCCATTGAAGTACAATAGAAACTGAATTAACTGACACAGGATTTTGAAAAGAACAAACACTAGGAACACAACTGGAATCACTTCCTTTTGGAATAGAAACTACATTTTGAGCTAAGAAACTGCTAGACTCTAAATTGGTTGGCTGCAGCAGGTAAAGGCCATCTCTTATCTCACCAAAAGCTTGTCCCCTCCTCATTAAAGGGACCTGCAACATACACCCAGTGGAGGTTAGATTTAAAGAACAAGTGAATTGTACACAAAGCTTGTGAACTGACAACATATTGTACTTGAAAGAAGGCACATATATTACTCTCTGAAGAATCATATCAGGTTGGATGGGAACTCTTCCTATATGTGTGACATGCAATTGAAAAGAATTAGGAAGGTTAATATGCAAAGGCATAGGTAAAGGAGTTAGTTCTAGGAAGGAATTGGAGTCAAAACACATGTGTTCAGAAGCTCCTGAATCAATAATCCAAGTTTTAGTGTTAAAAACTGCTAGACAGGTTCCTGAGTATTTGAGTACTGTACCAGCCACTGCGTTTGCATTAATCTTTGTTCCTCCATTCCGTGTATGTCCTGTTTGCACCTGCTTGATTAGGTTAACCAGCTCTGAGAGTTGTTCCTTGCTGAAATGTTGATTCCAAGTTTCCATTGAACCTTCACTGGGGGAATCATCTTCCTTAGCTCCAGTTACTGCATTAGCCTTAGCTCCTCCTTGATAAACATTTGATTTAGTGAAGTGGAAATCATCTGGGAAGCCTATCAATCTGTAGCAGTCTGCCTTGAGATGTCCTATTCTCATACAGTGAGTGCAACTCACATTTGGATTATATTTGGCCTTCCTAGGCTTGAACTTTTGCTGAGTATTACCAGATTTTTGTGGTGCATTCCAAGTCCTTTGAGTTTGATTATTGTACTTCTGTGAATTCCTTGTTTGTCCAGCTACCATAAAAGATGAAGCATCACTAGGGTATTGTGCTTCCTTTTGACCTTCATCCTGTAATAGCAAAGAGTAAGCAACATCCATGGTTGGAAGGGGGTTCATCATCAGTATGTTCCCCCTTGCCTGACCATATGTATCATTAAGTCCCATAAGAAATTGGATGATCCTTTGATCTTCCATAAATTTGGCTTGCTTTCTCTTTCCTTCACACACACAATCACAGGTACATCCTAAATGTGAGTTCAGGGAATCCAGCTCATCCCACAATTTTTTCAATTGGGTGAAGTATCCTGATATGCTGTTGTTTCCTTGAACTGATTTTGCTATTTCCTTCTGTAGGTGATATAGTTTTGTCCCATTTGACTGGCCAAATCTGTGTTCAAGGCTACCCCAGAGTTCTTTTGCACTCTTTGAGTAGAGGACACTGTCACCAATGTCCTTGGACAGTGAATTGAGCAACCATGAAGTCACCATGTCGTTACATCTGCTCCAAAGTGCATACTCTTTGGAAGTCTGAGCTGGTGCAGCACAACTCCCATCTATGAAACCCAGCTTATTTTTGGCTGAGAGTGCTATAAGCACTGATCTTCTCCATCCGGGAAACCTCTTCCATCAAACGGTGAGTTGACAATGGTCATACCAGGTGCATCTGAAGAATGTAAAAAATAGGGATGATTTGTGTCAAGATTTGGTCCATTGTTAGATGAACCAGAGGCAGTGACTGCAGGATCAGTGTTTGTTCCAGTCATGATTCAGTGATTGGATTGAATAAGCAAGATTTGAAGGAGAGATTGAATGGATCGAGCTAAAGCTCTGATACCATGAAAGAAATGTAAAACCAGATCTTGTGAAATTTTCTGTGTATTATTTCATCATCTGTATCCAATATTTATACAAGTACCTAATCTAACAAGAAGAGAAAAGAATCTATAATCTGTACACTTGTACAAATTCTATTGCTAACTCTGTAACAGAAAATAACTAAAATATTCCTTTACAATGTATTTACATGTGCTGTATTATCCTCTTGCTCCAGCTGTCCAAGATGTGTAATCAATAGCTGAGATTTATCTTTAGCTTGTATGCTCATGATCTTCAGCTTGTAACCAATAGCAGGCCCAAATAATAAAGACAATCATAGAGGCCCAAGTAATATTGACAACATAGAGGCCCAAATAATAGAGACAACCAAATAATAGAGGCAACATAGGTACTATCGAAAACCTATCTTCTTGTCTGAAGACCTATCTATCTTCTTCTTCTTCTCTTCTGTAAATTAATCCAAAACTCTTCTTTGATTAAAAAATCTGGCTATCGACATAGAGCTTCCTTTTCTTCTTCAACACATCTCAAGGATGTGATGTAGACAGCCTACCCTAATGCAAGCATTGGTGGTTATTTCTACGGCTCGAACCCGTGACCTATTGGTCACATGGAGATAACTTTAGCATTGCTACAAGGCTCCCCTTCCATGTTCACAAATATGAAGTGCAAAAATGAACCAAATCATACACATATCAAGTGCAAGACCGCATAATTTACTAATATTACTTACCCAAATCTCAAGTTTACTCAAATTGGGGGAATTCTTAATTAGCTGTAGAGCATAAGAAGTCTGACCCAGATGGTCAAAGGCTACAAATATCGACAGATGCCTCAAAAAGTTGAGCGTAAAAGGAAGCCCATTTGGAACTACATCTGCACTCAAAATCTATGAAGCAAATATTAATCAGAACCACATGAATTTACAATCACTATAAGCAAATATTCAAGTGAAAAAACAAGTAATGAGTTTCTTACCTCAAGGATATATGAACTCAAATAGAGTACCTCAAGTGCATGCAAGCTAATAAGAAGCTTCTCCCAAGTTGATTTTCCATCAGCCGCGTTGTAAAAGTCAAGTTTGAAGTCTCAAATTCTTGCAGTTCATAAAACAATTTAGCACGAGACAGTAGTGACTATCTCGAACATTTAAGGATTTCAAACTTGGTGAAATAATGTTTAGGTATTGAGTACCGTGACACATGTTCAAGGACAAGTCCTCAAGGAGGGGGACTTTGATAACGCAAAACGATGTGGTTGGCACAAAGGTTGTACGTTGCAGAACAAGGGAGATAAGATTCGGAAAACCAAGAAAAGAACTGGGTGGTTTGAAGACACAGTTGGTGAGTTCCAAGTGTGTCAATGTTGAACATTTAAAAATAGAAGGTGGCAAACTATAGGTATCGAGATTTGAAAAGCGAAGGGTTAGCTTCTTGACGCCATTTCTGGTGACAAAAAGCACCCATCTATCGATATCTGCACACGAAGACAAATGTGCTCCTCTAGTGTCAAGAATGAACTTCACAATGTTCCCCATATGCAGTAGCAGGATCTCATCTACTGCTAGTTTGAACTTGGATTCGGACTCTTCTATTAACTTATGATAGAAGTCGTAATCCAGCACCAGATTTGGAAGAGTAGACCAAATATATCTCCAGTTCCTCGACAAAATACTAGTTCTTGCAGCATCTTGAACCGGCAAAAGCTCAAGGATATGGTCTATAACATTTCCGGCTAAACCACTGATTCTATCTTCTCTATCCCCTTCAACGGCAACTCTTTTTCCATCTGTTATGGAGGGAAAAGAATCAGAACAGTTCCTTAAGTATAGTGGTTGATATTTTTTTTGTATGATAATGATGCTCGAGTTCCGGCCATTCTTGTTCATAGTGGTTGAGAGAGTCCTCTTCATGCCACTAGGTCAAGAGTTCGAACCTAGTACCCTGACAAACAAAACGACAGTGGTGATCGGTGCTAACTTTCGCGCACCTTGACTATTCCACTGGCTACGTAATACCTCTCACCAGCACAGGTATCGGATAACTCAACCCGGCAAGACTTAGGTAGATAGGCAGACATTACCTAGTATTTTTTACCTCCTCTAAAATTTAAACCTATGACCTCGTGGTTCTCCTCTCATTTCATCAACCACTAAGCCATACCCTATGGTGCACGAAATGACCAGACTAAAAGTGATTCTACTCAGAACGGTTTGAAACCTAATTCTCTCAGAATGTTCCTTTTTCTTTATTTCTGTCTTCTTCTTCTACGACTACTTAATAGGAGAAAAATAAAACATTTTCATTTTGGGATCAGTTGACAGAAGAAGTTATAAATTGAGGATCTGAGATGCTTTGTCAAATTTTAAAACTTCAAATTTCATCACTAAACAGTAACAATTCTTCGTAGTAAACAACTGGAGAAAAAAAAATACTTTTAAGCATAGACTCGGACAACATTTACAACCTTACGATTACAACAACCATACATGCACTAAGCAGAAGAATTTTTAGGCTTAAATTTTATGAAAAGAAGAAAAAAAGAAAGGAAAGGGGTTAGGGGAAGAAGAAGGTGTACAATCTAATTTAATGGAGTATTGGGGAAGGAGAAGGGGTTGTGTTTGGGCTGGGCCTTAAATAGTTCTCTCGGGGCACTTGGGCACTTGCATCTATACCCGTTTTTTGGCTCACGTTTTAACTTGTACCCGTTTTGCAAAAAAAAATTGCAAGCGTACCCACTCTTTTGCGTAACTTCAGCATACGGGCCTGAAGTAGCAAAGGCAATCGCGCAAACTTCAGCATTCTAGTAGACGGGCCTGAAGTAGCAAAAATTGCTGAACCAAGTGTGCTGGAGTTTTTATTTGTAATTGCTGAACTTAAGCATTCTAGTGCTGAAGTTTGTTCTCTATTTGCGGAAGTTTTTATTTGTAATTGCTGAACTTAAGCATTCTAGTAGCTGAAGTTATTTAGTTCATTTGTAAAAACTTCAGCACTAAATAAGCTGAAGTTTTTTTTTCCTGGATTCATTAGTTTTGTCATAAAGCTTTTTCAAAAACTTCAGCAGAAGATGCTGAAGTAATTTAGTTCATTTGTAAAAACTTCAGCACTAAATAAGCTGAACTTTTTTTGTCCTGGATTCATTAGTTTTGTCATAAAGCTTTTTCAAAAGCTTCAGCAGAAGATGCTGAAGTTATTTAGTTCATTTGTTAAAACTTCAGTACTAAATAAGCTGAAGTTTTTTTGTCCTGGATTCATTAGTTTTGTCATAAAGCTTTTTCAAAAACTTCAGCAGAAGATGTTGAAGTTATTTAGTTCATTTGTAAAAACTTCAGCACTATATAAGCTGAAGTTTTTTAAAAAGCTTTCTAATATACTAGATACATAATCACCTTATTCTTTCATAGTGTATTACTACTATAAAATAATCAGATTGCCAACAGTATCTAAGTCATAAATTTCGGAAACAATAAACGTGAAAAGAACAGAATTATCATGAAAAGAATCACTAAGTGTGACCTTAAACTTCCCGTACGTGAAAATATTCACAAATTATTGTCTACTAACTTACATAATTATTTATAATTTATTTTTAAATAGTCTGATAAACATACTTATGGCAATCATCCCATGAAATGAAGTTTCATAGCAGCACCAACAGCAGCAGAAGAAAGAAGAAGAAGAAGAAGAAGAAGAAGAAAACGAAGGAGGAGAAGGAGAAGGAGAAAGGGGGCTGAAGTTGTTTAAAAAGTGGGTACAAGTTAAAACTTTTTAAAAAATGGGTATAGGTTAAATGGGGGCGATCAAATAGGGCGCCCCGTACAATTTTTACAGTTCTCTCTTAGGAAAAAAAGTCGAAAATAGCCTAATTGAAAATCAATCATAATTTTAAAGATAATCAAAATTTAGTCATTTTTTCATGTGAAAATAGAATCTAAACAAAATATCCTTAAAGTACGAAAAAATTTCAGCATAATATGCTGGAATTCGAACTTTTTACATATGAGATTCCTGCATAATGTGCTGGAATTCATAATATGCTGGAGTTCCAACTTAATATGCTGGAAGTTTATATGTAGGAATTTCATAATCTAGCATATTATGTTGGAACTTTCGTATTTCAACTAAGATAATTTTGTCTAAATTTTATCTCCGAGTTAAATAATGACTACTTTTCGATAACTTTGCATACACTTGTTTTTTTTTAATAACCACCCGTAAACATGGCCATGACATGCCATTTTGACTACTCTGTTGCATATCTTTAGATAGAAAGAGTATACTCTAATTTAATGGAGTATACAAATACTTTAATGCTAATTTATCTCAAAAGAGCTTATTAGCACCAGATTTAGAAAGAGATACTTACTAATATCTTCTTAATTTTCCAAAGAGGAACTTATTTTGAATCAAATTGATATAACAAAAAAGAATACTAAATTTTCTCCACTATAAGGGAAAAAAATTGAACAATTTGCTTATCGTTTGAAAGTCATAGAGGTGATCAAGAATCCCACTAGCAAAAAAAAACAGTAGGGTGGGGAAGAAATGACCCCAGGTACCCACTTTAAAGGGCTGCTATTTAGGAATTAGCATGTACGTTCAGAATTTCAGTTGTTCAGTTAAATTTTTCAGGACAAAATGTTCTGAATTCTCTTGAAATTATAATTTTTAGTTTAAAATTTCAGGACAAAATAAGTACTAGCTAATCTCTAAATAGCATCCATGAGAATGGCTATTTATGCACTTGCCCCTGGAGTGGGTAGTGATGTATATTGGGATTGGACTTCAATATAATTGGCATTGAAGGGTGAGGCAAGTCCAGTCCTTTTTCCTGCTTGCAATTTTTTTGGAGCAAATCATTTTATTTGTGGGAGTTAATTGTGAATAAGTACTAGTTAATTTCTAAATAGCATCCCGGTGAATGGCTATTTATGTACTTGCCCCGGGGTGGGTAGTGATGTATATTGGGATTGGACTTCAATATCATTGGCATTGAACTGTAAGGCAAGTCCAGTCCTTTTTCCTGCTTGCAATTTTTTGGAGCAAATCATTTTATTTTTGGGAGTTAATTGTGAATAAGTACTAGTTAATTTCTAAATAGCATCCCTAAGAATGGCTATTTATACATTTGCCCCCGGGGTGGGCAGTGATGTATATTGGGATTGGACTTCAATATCATTGGCATTGAACTGTAAGGCAAGTCGAGTCCTTTTTCCTGCTTGCAATTTTTTTTTTTTTTGAGGATATCATTTTATTTTTGGGAGTTAATTGTGAATAAGTACTAGTTAATTTCTAAATAGCATCCCTGAAAATGGCTATTTATGCATTTGCCCCCGGGGTGGGTAGTGATGTATATTGGGATTGGACTTCAATATCATTGGCATTGAACTGTAAGGCAAGTCCAGTCCTTTTTCCTGCTTGCAATTTTTTTGGAGCAAATCATTTTATTTTTGGGAGTTAATTGTGAATAAGTACTAGTTAATTTCTAAATAACATCCCTGAGAATGGCTATTTATGCATTTGCCGCTGGGGTGGGTAGTAATGTATATTGGGATTGGACTTCAATATCATTGGCATTGAACTGTTAAGGCAAATCCAGTCATTTTTCCTGCTTGCAATTTTTTGGAGCAAATCATTTTATTTTTGGGAGTTAATTGTGTTGCTTGTTGTATTTTCTCTCATCTGTAGAATATTTATGTAATCGATGGAATTGTATCTGGTATACCTTTTAGCTATGTGCAAATATCTAGTACGAGTATTGTGGCTTGTATAGTAAAAACTTATTTAGTACCCGTAATCAAATCATACTAATTTATCATGGTAATCACCTGTATGCTAACGAAGGGTCGAGAAAGATATTGATCAAGTGGAAGGGAAGTGAGCTATCTTTCTGGTGATACCTAGTCCCGGAGCTAGAATCTTCATTAAGGGGTGTCAAAATATAAATAATTAAATACATCGAAAAGTCAAGGGGAATCAAGGTATAGAAAATATGCATAAAATAAAAAAATTTATTTAGCAATATAGTGTAATTTTCCGGTGAAGGGGCGTTTCTTGACACTCCTTGGTTCAATGTGGCTCCGCCACTAGTGATACCTAAGAAATTATTGTGACTTGTTATCAGCAAAATGTTTATACCAAATTATATTAATTTATCATGGTTAAGTCATGGATTAAGATGCGAATTTGTAATATTTAACTATTATAATTTAGTGATAAAAGTGTATATGAGACATGTATACTTTATTGGGTTTTTAAGCTATTAATGCTTAAAATGGAGTGAATGGGAAATGGAGGGAAAAATAAAATATTTGAGTAATATTTGAGTTTCCCTCCTTGATTGTCCCATATGGGAAGAGGAAAAGGTTTTTGATGGGTATATAAGCAATTGCTCTTCTTCTAGCTCATAAAGAGTTGAGAAGAAGGCAAGCCTCGCGCCGTCGTCGTTGTCACTCGCCCGCTCGGCTCGGCTCGGCTCCGGCTCCGGATTTGGATATTAATTTTTGGACCAAATTTATTTGTTAATAGTAAATATTAACAGAAATGTTATTAAATATTTGGTTTAATAACAAAATATTAATATTAAAATAAATATTAATATTAAATCCAATTCAGTTATCCAATTTTTAGTTTTCTATTTTTGTAACAGAAAATTAACTACCCTTCAATTTCCCTCTTTATTGTTGAGTAAATAGCCATTTATGTTCTGGCATTTATGCTATGGCCGTTTTGCATAAACAGCCATTCTGAAGAGTTGCACCTCTTCAGATTTCAGCCCAACTTTGGCTATAAATACAAGTCTATTCTGCTCAGAATTTTCATACGATTTTCTGAGTTTCTCCTCCTTCTGCATACTTATAACATCAAACAAAGCAACAGTAAGTGTGATTTGCTACTAAACTTTGTGTTCGCTGAAACACTGGGGTTTGAAGTACCACTACACCAGTGTGTAATTCGTTCTATCCTGGGAGGAAATAATCCACAACCTTGGGTACTGGGAGGGGATTAAATTCCTTAAGGAACACTGTGAATTCAATGGGCCCGGATTAAAATTTTGTTTCTGTTTTTTATTTCTGTTTATGTTAATTTATATTTTCCAGAATTATTTTACAAATACAGGTTACTAACAAGCTTAAGGAATTTAATATCTTTTCTGTATTTATGTTATACTCACTGTTTCTGGAGAGTAAAACCTTTGTGGTTTTGTACTCTATTGGAATTAAAATCTACGTGATTTTAACGTTTGTGTCATTCTTTTACAGAAATAACGAATGACAACGGAAACCAAGCTGTTCCGATGGTAACTGCCAATGCCTCAACGAGCTGAACAACACCGCCTGCATTGGCACCGGCGGAGAAACCCGAAAAAGTTTCCGGGATTGATTTCAAGCGCTGGCAGCAAAAGATGCTCTTCTACTTGACTACTCTAAGTCTTCAGAAGTTCATCAAGGAAGATGTTCCTGTGCTGTCCGATGAAACTCCAGAGACTGAACGCTTTCTCGTGATTGAGGCGTGGAAGCATTCAGATTTTTTGTGCAAGAATTATATACTAAGTGGGCTGGAGGATGCTTTCTATAACGTCTACAGTGGCGTGGAAACGTCAAAAGAACTGTGGATTGCGCTTGAAAAGAAATACAAAACTGAAGATGCCGGGTTGAAGAAGTTCGTTGCTGCAAAGTTTTTGGACTACAAAATGGTAGATAGCAAGTCTGTTATTACCCAAGTCTAGGAATTACAAGTGATTATTCACGATCTCCTTGCTGAAGGTATAAGTAGAATTAATACTAGTGTTGGTGGTATTAATTTTATTATGTTTACTAACAAAATTTTCATTGAAGGTCTTGTCATCAATGAAGCATTCCAAGTAGCAGCGATGATTGAGAAGTTGCTTCCGTTGCGGAAGGACTTCAAAAATTATTTGAAACACAAACGTAAGGAGATGTCCTTGAAGATCTCATTGTTCGGTTGAGAATCGAAGAGGACAATAAAGCTGATGACAAGAGAGGCCGTGGAAACTCAACAATAATGGGAGCAAATATTATTGAAGAGAACAAAAAGAGGAAGAAGGCTTCTGGACAGAAATACAACCCAAGCAAGAAGCGGTTCAGTAGAAATTGCTACAATTGTGGAAAAGCCGGACACAGATCTACGGAGTGTCGTGCTCCGAAGAAAGACAAGAAGAAGGGTCAAGCAAACATGGTTGAAAAGCATGATGATGTTGATGACTTGTGTGCCATGCTTTCCTAATGCAACTTGGTGGGCAATCATAAAGAGTGGTGGATTGATTCTGGTTGTGCTGTTAGAGAAGCTTTTGCTACTTATGCTCCTGTTGGACCCGATGAGACCCTTTCTATGGGAAATGATGCAAAGGCCAAGATTGAAGGATATGGGAAGATATTTTTCAAAATGACTTCTGGCAAAGTGGTGACTTTGAACAACGCCCTTCATGTTCCCAATATTAGGAAGAATTTAGTCTCTGCTGGACTTCTTGTTAAGAATGGTTTTAAATGTGTTTTTGTTTCCGATAAGGTTGTAATAAATAAGAACGAAATGTTTGTAGGAAAAGGTTACCTCACTGAGGGCCTTTTCAAGCTGAATGTAATGGTTGTTGAAAATAATAATAAAATTTCAGCTTCGTCTTACTTACTTTAGTCAAATGAATTATGGCATATACGTTTGGGTCATGTTAATTACAAAACCTTGCGAAAAATGATTAATTTGGATGTATTACCTAAATTTGAATGCGACAAATCAAAATGTCAAATATGTGTGGAATCTAAGTATGTTAAACATCCTTATAAGTCAGTTGAAAGGAATTCAAATCCTTTAGACTTAATTCATGCAGATATTTGTGACATGAAGTCAATACCGTCTCGCGGTGGAAAGAAGTATTTCATAACTTTTATTGACGATAATACTCGATATTGCTATGTTTACTTACTTAATAGTAAAGATGATGCAATAGACGCATTCAAGCAATACAAAACTGAAGTTGAAACGCAACTTAACAAGAAAATCAAAATGATAAGAAGTGATAGGGGTGGTGAATATGAATCTCCTTTTGAAGAAACATGTTTAGAATATGGAATTATTCATGAAACAACGGCCTCTTACACGCCCCAATCCAATGGGATTGCGGAAAGAAAGAATCGTACATTAAAGGAGATGATGAACTCATTGTTGATAAGTTTTGGTTTGCCACAGAACTTGTGAGGGGAAGCCGTTCTTACGGCTAATCGAATATTAAATCGAGTGCCCCGTAGCAAAACACAATCCATTCCATATGAAAATGGAAAGGAAGGAAGCCTGTGAGCACGTGATTTTTGCCCTATATATGAATTATTCCCAAAAATTCAAACAAAATAATTTCCTTTCATTATTTGCAATTTTTTTGAATTTTGTGGCATTTTTGTGTTAATTGTTTGCATTTGTTTGTGCATGTTTATTTTAATTAATTCATGAAAAATACAAAAAAAATATGTTGCATTTGCATTTAGGATTTAATATATTAGTTAGTAATCTATTTGTGTTACAAAAAATAAAAAATCACAAAAAAATAACGCATTTTGCATTTAGCTGCGAATCTTGCAGTTTTCTTTTAATTTGGTATTTAATTAGTTGTGGTAAATATTATTTTGAACATTAAACTAATTTGGTAGGATAATTTTGGTTTAGAATTAATGTAGGTTTTATTTAGAAAAGAAAGAAAAAGATTTGAAATTGAAAAGAAATGGAAAGAAAGGAATAGAAATATAAGTCTGTTTGGGCCATCTTTAATTTCCATACCCCAGGCCCAAACGTTTCCCCCCAAACCCACTCCCATACCCGTCCAAACTGGCCCACGACCCGCCCCAGAACTGGTCTTTCCCCCCCAGCAATCCAAAACGACCCCGTTTTTGACAGACCAAATCAGGACCGTTGATCTTTATTGATCTAACGGTCCGGAACTGTGGTTTGTTTAATATTTATATGTCCGAACCTCTACCCCCCCCAACCCCTTCGTCTCTCTCTCTCACCCCATCCCTCAAAGACCCTGTAACGCTGCCACACTCCACCGTCGCCCACCGTAACACCACCGTCTACCACCGTCCCTCCGCCGTCCGCCGCCGGCCGGAAATCGCTCACGGCGGCGGTCAAGCTCCAAACCCACCCAAATTTTCACCATCGACTCCTCTCCCCCTCCACTTTCTAATGCCCAAAATATGTTCCCTCGAATGTTAGCCAATCTGCTCGAATCTTAAAAAATTACCGTCACCGTCTCCGCCGTGTCCGGCGGTGGTCACCCCAAACTCGTCCAAACTAACACCCCTGAACCGCCTTGGTCTCCTCTTTCCAAACCCCCAAACCCCGTCCCTCGAATCTTCGCCGAACTCCTCGAATCTCCGATCAAAGTTCCGACCAAAACCCTAATTTTCCCAAACCTCACCAAATAGATGCCATGTGCTCCCCTCGCTTCCCTCATGTTGAATCCATCGTCCGTCGCATTCAAATCTCACCGGAAATGTTCGAATTTTGAATCTGAGAAGTGGCAAGATTTTAGAAGTTAAAACCAGTAAGTTTCCTATAGTCTTTAGGTTGTTGCTTAGTTATCTGATTTAACTTCACTCTCATTATTGTTTTGCTTCATGAATAATCGATTCGAGTTTCTTTTAGAGCCAGTAATCCTTATTGTTTCTATTTTGTTCATGTCGGCTGAATTCTAATAGTATACAACACGAATTTGGTTCGTTTAAGTTTTGTCATCATAATTCTTTGTTGTTAATCAGTGTGCTAGGGCGTAGGATTAATGTTGGAGTAAGTCAGTAGATTTTTCTTTCATTTAATTAATGCTTCTTAATAATAATTGATGCTGACTTTAGTCTTTAGTTTTTGGTTCAATTTTGCTTTGATTTTCTGCCGGTCGAGTGAGTAAGTCATTAATGATTCGACTCCAGTTCAATTTGGTTTGAATCACTGACTTGTTTGGTGAATTAGCTTAGTCTGAATTAACAATTTAGTTAGAAATTCCACGTTCTGATCAATGGGTTGAGTAGTTAGTTCAACTGTAGGGTTTGTTTGGTTTTAGCTGAATTCCTTTGTTCTTTGGGTAATTAACCATGATTACTACTAAGGTTAAGGGGCTGGGTCAGGTAATTCTAGCTTGGTCAGTAATTTCAGGGGATTCAAAGGGTAGTTTAGGCATTGGAAAGGGTATGTTTCATTAAGATTGGTAATTGTTGAAGTAAAGTAAGGGTAGAATAGGAATTGTAATGGGTATAGAACCTTTTAGGATGGACTATAGTGCATATTTCAGTAAACTTAGGGTAGTTACTTGTGTGACAAGTCAGAAAATAAAGGATAAAAAATAGAATTAAATAGGGACCAATGGGGCAAAAGGAAAATCTGAAATTGGACCTAAGCTCACCTATAAATAGGCATTCATTTGCCTTGATTCACAAGTTTGGAGGCCTAAAATTCACCCCCCCCCCCAAAGTGTTTACAGATCTGAAGTCTGAAATTCAAAAAAAAAAAATTCAAAAACCAAAAACAAAAACAGTAAAAAAATCCAAAAAAAAAAAGAATAATTTACTGCTCTATTGGGACTCTCTTAGATCAAGTTTGAATTTCATTTGTAAATCAAGTTTCAGTGCAACAGAAGGTTAAAAATGGTTGAGTGTCTTCTAGACCTTGTTTGGATCAAGTTCAGGGACTTTTGGTTGATTTCGAGTGTATTTTGATCCAATCATATCTGGTTTTCATCTGCTTTTGGTGTTTAATCTGCTGCTAGTCATTCCTGGGTCTGCTGTGGTATTTTTGGATTTGAAAGTGATCTAGCTGCTTTGAGTTTGAGCTGCTGTTAGCTACTGCTTAGCTGACTTACCTCTTCTTCATTTCTGTTCTAATTCCCGGTATATCCTTAGACTCAAGAGATATTGGAGCCATATCAGCATGTATGCACACATTTGAAGTCGCATAATGAAGAACTATTTGTTAGCTGTTGTTTAGCTTAGCCTTTTGGTTTAGTTGATCTACTTAAGCAATGATTGAAATGTATTAATTAGGACTGCACTGGACTGCACTGGACTGTATGGACTTTTAATTTCCTAAACACATGTTAAATACGTAGTAGCAGTAGTCGAGATTTGAATAATTTGAACATTTTAATCGGATTGTGAATTGTATCTGCAGTCAAATTTCAGTCTCATTTAGTGGGTTGAATTGAGCATTGGTTAAACACGGGCTAAAAAATGAGCATGAGCCTTAAGCTTAACCAAATATGTAACTGATGCTCTAAGTCAGTTTTAACTCTAGCATTTTGCTTTTGAATTCAAAAATAGCATGCCCGGTAGTCATGTATTTGTGAATTGTATTTGTAGTCAAATTTTACTAATTGTTTGTAAGGTTTCATTAGTTTAGACCCGATCAGATTACAAATGTCAGAATTGAGTTGATGTTGGTGAACTGAACAAAT